TTAGTAGACGAGTTTATAAAAAAATTCAGTCGCTTGGGTATATATTACCTACCGATCTGCAGTGTTAGTTTTACTATATCACGTCAATGGAAATGAATTCGTATGATTTTTAATCTGTCAGTGTAAATATTTTAATAGTCCTCTTTGCCTCACACTTGAATAGGTTGTGTCCATATCACAGTGAGTGAATTGTGATGTTCAAAAAACGACTACACTTCCTATAAATCATTTTAAATGCTTTTTTGTCACTTGACAGTTTAGTTCGACTGGATGGCTGTATCTTACCTAACAAGTATCAGTTTCCTATACCTCATGTGTTTCTGTAGTAGTCTTTTACAACTCCAAACTAACGATGATACTGTACGATCATAATGCTTTTCTGACTATCCTTCCTCCCTGTGATGACCCACTGAACCTGCAGGTTATGAAAGCTCGACTAGGTAATGAAGTAAGACTGAGATGTTCAGTATGCAGTCAATTTGAAGTGCGTCAATCTACTCCAGAATGAGAACTTAAAAAGCACATGACTAAGCCTAGTCGATGTGAAGGTAAGTGCACTCACTGTAGGTAGTAAGAGGTTTTCACCAGCCACTGCCCCTATCCGCGTACTGCACAAACCGACTTTATTCTTTATCAAACACCTGATGAATTTTATCTGACACCAAGGACACATAATATGCCAATGAACCACAACTCAAGTACTTTCTTTCATTATCCATTCACCTTCCATGTTGTGGTGTGTTGGCAAACAGTCTTTCTTAGTCTTTCCAATTTCATGACAACAGTAAATTATTTCCTTCAATTTTTTTTCTTGCAAAGAATTAATATCTGGTGTAAACACGTAGAACAACTGTTACTTTAATTATTTTCTAACATAACGCAGATCAATTACCCTTGAATCACAACAAGAAAAATCAATAAATGCACTTAATCAATTTATTATTTTTGTTGTTTGAGTATTGATTGGTGTTTTCACTCTTTCATTTTCTCTCTACATAGAGATATAATCTACACATGTTTTTCACAAATGTTAAGAAGTAGCATGTGATTGATTAGCTTAGTGTGTGATTTAAATCTAATTGGCAAAAAGTGAGATTAAGTAGACACTGTGTTACCTAATACTGAAAATAGCAGACGAAAACCTGTCGTGTCATTCATGACAAGAAATGACGATAAACGGGTCATCATTCACACTGATAATCGATTAAAGGTTACATTCAGTGCATAAGCATGCTTATCGATTGGACTATAAGTGTGTATGCTTGTGTTAAAACTCCAGCTGTCTTTTTCATTATATTTCCGAAGAACTTTAGAGCATTCTAACAAGATGTCGATGTTAACGACGTGCTTAGCGCATCATCTAAGTTATACCAGCCACCATGATAGCTGAGTAACCACGCATTGTATTAATCAGTTATCTAATTCCCTAGTTTTATCAATGGTGATATGCTTTTCTCAGGTAAAGTAAATGGCATTTCTTACATCCAAGTCAGAGGAAAATGGGAGTTGTTAAAACTGTCCCCTCAGAAATTTCCCCACTTGTGAACTAAAGATTGCAGAGTCAGATGTGATTTTTAAAGAAGGCATACTTCATTTTAACCTGGCTGTTCTTCAGAACTAAATATCTCCAGGTATGGATTAGCTAGATAAATCGATAGGCATCTGGATAGAAGAAACTGTTCTGTGTGGATCCATATCGTGTGATACAGAGAGTGTAGCCTGGGTAAGTCATGAAGCTTTGTATTTGTAAGTGAACTTATTTTATGACACAAGAAGAGTGAGTAAATAAATAATCACCAAAACAAATTAAACTCCTATAGTTTGGTTTGTAAAGGTTACGAGTTGATCACGGATTGATATCAGTTAGAAAACCATTGAAAACCAGGGAGTACTGGACAGCTGCTGTTTCATCCTAATTTGGGAATCATCGGCAGTACGCACCCACTGGGATTCGAAACCAGGACCTTCCGGTTACAAGGCAAGCTCGTATACCATTCAGCCACTGGGACCCGATTTAATGGCTCATGAATTTTAACTTCTACCGATTCGTGATTTAGCGCGACCCCAACCATTGTCGTTGGTGGGACATCCATCCACACATGAGCCATTGAATCGAGTCCCAGTGGCTGAATGGTATACGAGCTTGCCTTGTAACCGGAAGGTCCTGGTTTCGAATCCCAGTGGGTGCGTACTGCCGATGATTCCCAAATTAGGATGAAACAGCAGCTGTCCAGTACTCCCTGGTTTTCAATGGTTTTCTAACTGATATCAATCTGTGATCAACTCGTGAAAAATTAAACTCCCCTTTCTGATACGACAGAATAGAGACGGTCAGTTGAAATTAGAATTTCCTCAGGGAGTTAGTTGTGTTTAATGCAGTACTATAATCGTTTCAAGTGTTCCATTTGGCTGTTTTTATTTAGGGTGTTTCATTGACTTCCTACCTAGTAGGAATATCAGCTGAGCCTTGAAGACACCTAGCAATTAGTTTTAGCCTCATCCTAAAACAAACACTCCTGTTCACGTTGACAGTAGTAGCTTTAATTATAGAGTAGTTCTATTATATTTTTATTACTCCATTGGGTTCCAAGTGCAACATGGGGTCTCAACAACACATCTCAACTCCCTTCTGCCTTCTGCTGTCCTCTTCATCTGGGCCCATGATCACCCATAATCTCTCATCTCCTCCAACTCACACGATCTCCTCCATGTCACCCTAGGACTGACGACCCATTCGTCGCTTCTTATTAGGATTTCACTCTCCGATCCTAGTGAAGAACAAGACTGTTATCTGATATTTTTTGCGCATTGAAGTTTCTCTAGCAGTATGATAGCTTTTGTAGTGTGGGGTTGCTAGCCCCACGCTCAACCCTCCCTCTTTACCCGGGCTTGGGACCAGCTAGAAAACTAGCAAGCCAGTTAACTAGGCTTAGAATCTACAGGAGAGTAGGGATTAAATGATTTTAGAGGCAGAAGGAATACTAAGAGATGATTAACAGCTGTTCAGTCCTGATTTGAGATTAATCCCCAGTATGGTTGCATGGATTCAGGTGAGATCTTAGACATATCTACTAGTTCTTACATTTGACCACTAGGAAACTTCTAGCTTTTGTTAATCAGTAGTAAAACTTCACTATTCAATATTCGTCTTTATAGTAAACTGCGTTTATGTCAAATGAGGGGAGTACATCTCACTAAGTGATGCACGATAAAGTTATTCGTAATTCGATACTAGTTAGATGTTTCTTTACATTCTTTTTGACCCCCTTAAGTAATCAAGACACTCAATCAGATCGAAACAAATATGCCAAGATATCTGTGGATGCGGTAGACAGTTCGCATTTTTAAACGTAAGTTCATACTGATTAGATGACCAGTTGGTAGCTATTTTCTGAAAGATTTGACCGATTGACCTTTACAGAATATAGTCTATAAGGTTTTTCTCTATCTGAAGTTTGTATAATTCTTCGACCTAACACACCAGGATGTACCTGAAATTTTGCAGGAAGTCGTTAGTTCTTGAGCATTTGAGTTAGTGTCACTTAGTGTTTAAGCCAGAGGTGAATAATACAGGCACGCCTGACCTTAGAGAGAGACTCGATAATGTAGACATGTTGATAATTGATCGTGTTATTACCTATTGAATAATTTATAGAGACATTTGAACTATGATCATATTTGAACTAAAGCAGTTAGGACTGTATTTGATGATTTAGTCAGAAGCTTTGAGCTATACGCTTAGATTTTAAAGAATTCATTTATATTAGCGTGCAAACTAGTCAAATCCCACAATTCATCACTCTAGACATTGGTTTTATGCACGCGTCATTACTTCATTCACCTTGTTGAACAAACGCTCCATTCCAGAGAAGCCAGATTTTATTCATAAGGCTTAATCACATTCACATTAAACATGACTGTTTCATCCGACGTGATTTCAGCTTTTGTTTGCACACACACACAGATGACTTTTAAAGTTATATCGACTAGTCTGTGCACAGTGGCAGCTTTCATAAGACTTTGCGTAATCAGTTGCATATTAGGATAAACGTATTTGATATAAGACACTGTATGAACAGCTCGATTGCTTTTCAAGCACAAAGCACTGCTCATAATTACATGACTGCATCCACACTACTAACTAGCTTGCTTTATATAATTTTTGTTTTACTGCCCCGAGACTGGCGTCATATCGTCTCTATTGAATGCATTCCTGCAAGAGGGTAGGATAGAGTCAAAGACTTAAAAGACAATACATATAGGTAGATAGACAGACAGAGACAGAGATTGAGGCTAATCACAGGATGTTTGTTCACCGAAGCAATAATTAAAGCTGCTAGATATCATATCTGCAGCTTTTAAATTTGTTCTCAATTCTGCAAGTTCATTCAGAGGTTACTCGGTTCGAGATGTTTATTGCACCACAGTTTCCTTTGAAAATCAAGATTATTCAGATTAGAATATGCAATCTTCTTGATTGCACAAACAGTAATCAAGAAACCGAGCGTATATAGTTTTATCTGCAATATAAATGACAGCGCTAATTCCGGATAAGTAGAAGATAACATTAACAAACAGGATACAGCATATAAAAATCTATATATAGCGAATTAAGATGTCATTTGAATACCTTGGTATAATTATAAGCCACTGATTGTGTTCGAAACATCCGCCACTAGTTGATACTGTACCACACTGTACCTTGTACACTGTACTTGAATTTTACCACCACACTGCCAGGATTTCCCTGTTACATTAATAATGCATAATCGTTTCGAGAACCATTGAATCTCACGGAGTGCAGCAAAACTGTTTCACCCTAGTTTCGGACACTTCATCAGTATGCATCCATTAACCTATCGAGGATCGAATCCAGAACGTCTAGGTTACGAGACCATCCCATTGACCATTCAACATAGGTAACGGATATATTTAAGTCTACAATAGATGTTATTTATTACTGGCAATAATCTGATCAGTTACATTGACAATGTGTGACGGATATACATATATGTTACATGACAAATGAAAGTATCACTACCAGTAATATTAATGAGCCAAAGACGATTGATCCTGTGATGAGGAGACTGCGTTTCATTTTCAGCCGAATTAACTTTTTGTTCATCTTCTTGAATTGTTTGGCCTAAAGCAAAAGAAAATGTAAAAATGTTGAATTATACTCGAGACTTGTTGAATAAAACATTCTATTCTTCATTTTTAGGAGTGAGGATGAAGGGTGGATGATACATTACTCGCTATAACAAGTGGCGTTTTTGAGCACCATGCTACAATTTGTGTGCGTGATAACGCAATAGATCTCTATACACATTCATCAGTAGTGCCACTTTCAGCTTCCACCCCAGTAAATGGATTTTGATGAGCACTTATCCAGAAATAGCAGTTACGTGGATTGTGCTCACCGGCGCTTATCACAACTATCGGTGAACAGTCTTCTGCCTTCTCTTAGTAGACTCCCAATGATGATATCAGGTAGAGCTCAATTGAACATGAGCATCATGGAAATTGAATAGAATTCTGAATTACACGGCAGCGTATTTCAGAACCCTTTTCTTTTTATCACTGAATTATGTGGATTGTTGTTTCACCTTGATTGTTACCCTGTAAAACAAGGAACACTTTTGGCCGGTAATAAGAAGAAGCATAAAAGGAATCTGTCAGGTTGTACTCCGTACCATAACCATAGAATAAAAATGTCTTGCTTTAGGTATAAATAAACTACTATCCTCAGTAATAAAACTCAGTAGTGTGAGACAATGAAACAAATCGATCCACACAGTAGAAACACACCTTTACTAGAACACTTTATTGGGTTAACTCAATGAAACATGATGGTTGGCATTAAATTCAATTTTAAGTAAATATATAAGCAGATGGATAAAAAATGAAACCGGTTATTGTTCACGTTACTATGGCTAACATTAAGTTGTCCTTCTAAAGTTCAATCAATATAACTATGGTTACTCGTTACTGACCTTCAATTAGGTTTCCGGATCACTACAAACTGACTGTCAACAAGTAAATAAAATGTAAATGAAAGCTTAAAGAGATTATTTACAATTTTAAAAAAATACAATAAATGGGAAATAAAAACTGGAAACTGGAAATTCTCAATGTGATGCTCTATGGTGTTTTTTTAACTCCTTAAATAAACTGTCCTCTCCTAAAAACAACTGACTATTTGAATGTGTGAGGTTAAAGAAAAACTATCTAGCGGTCAAAACGAAGGTAATATTATGGGAAGGCAATACATAATTTAAAACTTAATTAAAATTGATAACACTAGCTTCATATTAATCAGCCAGCTCAGAGAACACAACTAATTCAATCTGTTGTAGGAATAAATGCTTTTGGATAAGCCTAGCAGAAAGAGGTCAGAATTCTAAGCAATATTTGTATCTCTTCAGGTTGAATACTGAAGGAATGAAAGAAGAGGATAAATATCGGAGGTGGAAAGAAAAGACATTTCTTGGAATCAATCGAAACATATAAAAATGACCTATTTATTAAACTATTAGGCTTGGAGGTAGAGCTGTTATGATTCCCACAACTGTCCTTTTTTGAACAAAACATGAAGAATTCACGTGTTCATAGAAATGTCAGCATCTTCTCGACCATGATGAAGAAACAACTATGACAAAGAGAATAAAATTTAAGTGTTGGTTTGTAGGGATTTGATTGGTTACAGGATTTTCATCATGAGCTGACATTAGTTAGAGAACCATTGCAAAACCACCCGGGAGTACTGGACAGCTGTTTCGTCTTAGTTTGGGACTCTTCGGTAGCACGTACCCACCAGGATTCGAACCCAGGACCTTCTGGTTACAAGCCGAGCTCGTATACCATTAAGCTACTGGGACCCCATCCAATGTCCCACGAATTCTAACTTCGGCCAACTCACGACATAGCGCAACCCCTAGCCATTGCCTTCGGCGAGTATTTGTCCTCACATCCGACCTGCTGCACCCTACTGGTCACGACTTTTCACTAGGGCAAGTCACTAGTGAGCATTTCACTGATATTCAAGTGTTGGTTTCCTTACTGTAATGACTACCGAATTACCCAAACCGTGTGTATCACTTCACTTCAATAGACTTCGAGAAGTGTAAAAGTATAGTGCTCAAAACTAACACTGTCGACAACTGCATTGTCAGCACTTTATAATAATTCCCACTGATGATTCATGAGATAAATGAGAGTAAACAGACACTGACCTCATATGCTAAACAAGCCTAATATATTCACTGTAGAAACATCTGGTGTCAGGGCTATTTGTTCGAAGGAAATTTACTGCACACAACGTAAGTATACCATAATAAAACTAACATCAACAGAATACTGATTTAACAAAATGCTTCTTGAAGCCCTACAACTTCTCAGCTTAACACACAACAAACTATCTTCACACCAGTCACATTTTGCATAAAATCGATACACTTAAAACTAAGTATTTCTGAAAATTGAATAATGCATTTCTGCTTTAAATTTTTTCTTTACTTGTGCTTCTGTCTTTATTATTATTATTGACAAAATAGGGTCAAACACGTTCACTTACAATCAATAAATAAGTAATTTCTTTGTCGGTGACATCAACACCACAACGACAAAAGCAAGGACGAACAAATCAATAAGAATACTTGTATACGATTATTCAGTGTTTTTCAGTGTGTTCACTAAGACTACACACAACAGACATTGCTTTGTACACCAATAAAATGTGTAGACTGGAGTGATACAGTAGATGTCATTATTGTATTCATCACTTCTTTGATGAATTCAGTCAGCCACAGTTGTTGTCAGTATATTTTTCCTGGAATTATTTCAATAATGGTGTGTAGACACAGTGTACCGCTTTTCCACGATTTTACTTCAGTGCTGTAAAGAGTAAGAGGCTTCGGGGATTTGAAGATGAGTTTCAAATTATTGGGTGACTTGTTCAATTAATTTTTATGCACTAGATAAGATTAAGACTGAAGACAAATGTGAAGATGATGGTCAAACTGAAAAAACCCTGATAGTGTGAAACACTTCAAGATCTGATACAACAATTCGACACAGATTAAGCTATGCTACTGAACTGCCATCCACACCCTTATTTTACATGATTATGTAGAGAGATCCTTCTGAGCAGTAGGTCTGTCGTAGAAAGTATTACCAACCGTTGGTTGTTTGTTCCACATCTCTTTTCTTTTATAAAAAGAAGACCTATCAGTTAAAGTGATGATGAGTGAAGTGGTGAGCACTGTTCATTGGTACCTTAGGCAGCTAATGGTACAAATGAAATTGAGAATTTTCAATAGCTGACCGGCTGTAGTTCAGTGGAAATCATTTCCATCAACTACAAAAAGTGATTCACTGAAAATATCCAGAAAGACTTGTCGATATTAGTAAAAATGTACAGGCAAACAATACTGATTGCGAATGACCGATAATTGAAGATAAGCAGTGTTTAAAGCTACATGTTTCTGTGGGAATATAGATTTGACAGAAATGATAGTGCCATAGCTGTGAAGAGTTTGTCATATCAGTCAATGAAAAAAGAAATGGTTTGTAAGAAAGGGGTAAAATAAAACTGATGAGACATGAGACATTGATACCTTTGCAATTCAGCATACGAAAGCAGCATTGAATAAGATAAACAAACCAATATCTCATTTTGCATAAAAAGGTCTAGTGTCAACTTGTTAATAGATGCAAAAATTAGAATTTATTACTGTTCCTTTCGATTCCGAGTGGAAGACAGAGCTTCAGCAGTACGCCTCCACTTCACTGCAGTGCTCTTTAGTTGTATCCAGGATAGCCAAAATGTTTTCGTCTTCTCTCCTCACCAAACGGTCTTTCAGTTTGCATCTGATCCATCTTCATTTTCGTTGGAATATTTATTGAGCGAACCGCTATTGGTTGGTTCGTCCCCACAGTTCATGCTGCTAAACCTTTCTGACTGGTCATCTGATCTTCTGCACGGAGTGAAGGCAGCTATTGACAAAAGTGTGAAGCTTATTCGAAATGTTTTCCGTGATACGCCAAGCTTTTGACCCATAAAGTAGAAATGACTGACTTAACATTGGTATTCAAAATCTGGATTTTGCTCTTTATGCTAAATACAGTAGATTTCCAAAATGACTTCAAAGTGATGAAGGTCTGTTTCGCCCTTCTGCTTCTTGTTTCAGAGTCCTCATCCACGCTGTCCGCCTGTAGCTGAAACGATGTTGTCTAGATAGGTGAAAGGAGTGATCTCTATCAAATTTCTTTTCATTGAAAGTGGCCGGTGCTTTTTGTTGTTGGCTGATTATTTTCATCACTTCTGTCTTCTTTTTTTCACTAAAAGTCCCGTCCTAGCTGTTTCTTCTGGCAACTTGTCTGTTTTCACCTGTAAGTCTTCTACTTGGTGTGACATTAGACATAAATCTTCCTTGAAATCCAAAACTTCTGGAGTCTTCTTACCGGTCCAGCGTATTTCCGACTTCTGGCTCCCACTCACAGTGGGACGCAGAATCCAGTACACCACAATCAGGAATATCATTGATGACAATGGGCATCCCCATCTTACTTCTGTCTTTACTTCAAAGGCTTAGGTGAGTTTTCATTGCGGATCACCTGACACATGTCAGTGTCATATGGCTGTTGAATGAGCTTGGTAAAGATTTTGGTCAGATACACCATAGTTTTCAAGTAATTTTGAAATTACTTCACGGTCAACACTGTCGATGGCCTTTTGAAAATCACTGAAACTGAGGTGGCGATTTGATTGTCATTCTACGCTCTGCTCAGTGATGATGCGTGGAGTCGCCATTCAGTCCGCACATGATTTCCTTTCCTTGAATCCAGCCCTCCGGGGAGGAAATCTTGCATTCAGAGTATCTTATAATCTCTCCAGGATGACACAACTTCGTTTTTGCTTGTCGTGAACAAGAGTATGGTTCCGTGCCAGTTCTTGCAGAGACCTAAGTCGCCTTTTTTAGGTAATTTAACATGATATTCTTTCTCCCAATCGGTGATACAGAATTATGTACTCCCTTGCGTTTCTAGCACAGTTTGTTGTTTGTTGTCATCAGTAAATAATACTGTATTACTGAGTAGCTTTATCAAATTAATTTATTCCTTAGTGAAATTATATACTACCCT